GGGGGCAAGGGGAGCAAGGTCGGGCTGCGAACCGCTCAAGAGATGCGCTGAGAGAGGAGCCACTTCTCGTCTACTCTGAGGCCCCGTCAGACTGGCAGTCGAGAAGGGCTGCGCCGGGGCGGCAAGGGGGCGGCAGACTGACCTGGTTTCTGGCGAGGGGGTTCCCTGGCTCGGGCTGATGCTGCTCTGACCCGGGAGGGGGCCCTGGGGTAGGAGCTGGGGGGCACAGGGCAGAAGTCTGGCCGTATCTGCGATCTGCATCATGTCTGTGGGTGAACCGAGGGGCCTTTCCATCATCTCACCTTGGAGATTGTGTCTCACGTGTTTTCTGGAGGGAGAATTCTGGCCTTTTTTGGGCGGCAAAAAGTCCTCAACCGCCTCATTAAGGGATCAGATGACTGGTGTGGCCGCAGCCCTAGTGGGATTTCTCAAGGAGGACAGGATGAGGAACACTCGTGCCCGGGGTAACCCTCATCAGACCAGGCCCCTGGGTGGGCCTGATGGGGGTTCCGGCTGGCGTGCGTGACACCTGTGTTCTTCACTGCAGCTGGAAGACCACGAGTACAAGCCTTTGGACCCAAAAGACATCCGTCTCCCACCCCCCATGCCGCCCAGCGAGAGGCTGCTGGCGGCTGTGGAGGCCTTTTACAGCCCTCCGTCCCACGACAGGCCCAGGAACAGGTACGGGGCTCGGGGAGACTGGGGATGCAGCTGGTGATGGGAGGGTGGCCCTGTCCCTCTCCTGGCCTGACTCTCCCGAGTTTAGTTTATGGGAAAGACTCCACGCCTTCTGCCCAGGGTAGTGTGAGGTCCAGGTGCGGAAAGTGGTGGGCTTGTACAACGCTAGGCGTAGGGGCGCCTGGGTGGCTCAGTCGTTTGGGCGTCCGACTCTTGATTTCGGGTCAGTTCGTGATCTCGCAGTTCATGGCCTGCCCTTTGCAGGGCCACAGGCCTGTCATCTGGGAGTCGGAGCTCCAGGTTCCCTGTTAGGAACATCGTAGGCCCTAACAGCCGTTCGAGCTGTTTGGGGAAACGCTGATGTGGAAAAGGCATGGGAGCCGGGCGTGCAGCCCAGCCTGACTGCTTCCCAGTGGGAGGCCCGGCCTCTCGACCCGCTTCCCCGTGCGAAGAAGGGCGGCCTCTGCTCACCCGGGTGAGGGACCCTGCTCAGTGTCCGAATGAACGAGGGAAGGGAGGGCCGCACGCCCGGACGTGAACTTTCCCCAGTTGGGTGCGGGAGGGAGGCGCACGGAGTCCACACGGGAAGGCCTGTGTCTTACAGCGAAGGCTGGGAGCAGAATGGCCTCTATGAGTTCTTTCGAGCAAAGATGCGGGCGCGGCGGCGGAAGGGCCAGGAAAAGCGGAACAGGTGAGCGCACGGGGGCCCGCTCGCGGTCCACCCGCCTCCCCAAACTACAGCGGGGCCCTGCCTGTGCCGGGCAGACGCGCTGTCACATCCCGCCCCAGGCTGGCCCGTCTCCCCCTGGCAGGGGGCAGGGGGCAGAGGGAGGCCAGTCCGGCCCCTGCCCGGGCCTGGGGGTTTTTTCACGCGAGGCCCAAGTTAAACCCGAGGCGCCAGCACCAGGAGTTTGCCCGGGGTCTTCCCGAAAGCCGGGGGCGCTGCTCACCAGCTCTCTCCCTGCAGTGGACCCTCACGGTCTCGGAGCAGATCCAAGAGCCGAGGGCGCTCTTCCTCCCGCTCCAACTCAAGGTCGTCCAAGTCCTCGGGCTCGTACTCCAGGTCCAGATCTCGCTCCTGCTCCCGCTCCTATTCCCGCTCCCGCTCCAGGTAGGCAGGGTGCCGCCCGCGGACCGAGGCCCCTCCGTGGCGCCCGTGGCCCGTGGCCCCCGCCGACCGCCCGCCCTGTCCTCCCTGCAGGAGCCGCAGCCGGTCTCGCTCCTCCCGGAGCCGCTCCCGCTCACGGTCCCGCTCCCGCTCCAAGTCCTACTCCCCGGGACGGAGACGCCGGTCGCGGTCCAGGAGCCCCACCCCGCCGTAAGATTTCTGTCTTAACTGTCCAGTGGCCGCTGGTAGCGCTGGAACCCTCTGATGCTTTGCTGTGAATGTTGAAACCTGTCGCTAGAAGACGTGCTCCCGGTGGCCCGTGCTGAGGTGGCACCTCGGGGACCCCGAGTTCTAGCGCGGTGACAGTGGCACCGCCTCGCCTCACACCACGCTCTTGCCTTTTTTGTGGTAACGCTGTAAAGCCTGAGGTGGCGCCTGGGCTGTGTCTGACCCTTCTGGGGGTCCCGTGTGACCTGCCCTCACCGCTCGCCGTGGGGCAGGGGCCATCTTAGGGAGCTCCCCTACCTGGCTGGCGAAGATGACAAAGAAGAATGATAGAGACCCAGGATGTGTGTGTGTGTCCTCCTAACTGGTGAACCTTCACGTACGCCACACGCTGTAATATTCTAAGAGTTTTCATTCCAATAAATGTATCCGCTCGTTTTTAAAAAACGTAACCTGTCTTAATTTTAGTTCCTCGGCTGGTCTGGGTTCTAATTCAGCACCTCCTATTCCTGATTCAAGGCTCGGGGAAGAAAACAAAGGACATCAGATGCTGGTGAAAATGGGTAAGGTTCCTGGGAAGAACCACCACCTGCTCTGGGCCTTTGGGGCTGGGGAGCCAGAGAAGGTTCCGGCTCTCTGCCAGAACTTCTACAGAGGGCGAGCCTGCGGTTTTTGCTGGCCGTTCTTTGTTACCTCATCAGTTACACGCTTGCCGACCACACACGTGCACATCATTCAGCTCTGCACACGGAGTCCTGTTTCACTTCACACATAAATGTGCCAAATTTCGGCTTTCGTGGGTTATAACCGCCCTCCCCCCTTTCTTCTTAAGGCTGGAGTGGATCTGGTGGCCTCGGCGTGAAAGAGCAAGGGATCCAGGACCCCATCAAGGGGGGGGACGTCCGGGACAAGTGGGACCAGTACAAGGGTGTGGGCGTGGCCCTGGACGACCCCTACGAGAACTACCGCAGGAACAAGAGCTACTCCTTCATCGCCCGCATGAAGGCCAGGGACGAGTGCAAGTAGGCGCTCTGCGGGCGGGAGCCACGCCTCGGCCACCGCGTTGGCCACCGGGACCTTCCTGGCCTACTGGCAGTGACAGATGGTAGGGACAGCTCAGTTCTCACACAGCCTCCGTCTCTGGGGAGCGGCATAAGAGAAGGAAGGCCACAGCCTGCCTAGTGACGAGCGCCATGCTCGATAGCTTGGAAGGCCCCGGGCCCCGCCTGCAAACCGCTCTAACGTAGAAGCACGACCCCGCCAGGAGATGCCCGGGCCCGCGCGGCCAGAGCCTGCTTCCCTTGACGGCGAAGTGAGAAACACGAGACCCTCCACCCCTGGATGAGAATCCCTGACATGTTGAGGCACGGCTGTTTCGCACCTCTCCCCTCGGGCAGATCTGAGCTTCTGCTTAAAGCAGTAGGAGCGTGTGGAGGAGAGGCCCTGGGCGAGCGGCCTGGCAGCCTGGGAGCGGGTGTGGGGCCAGCCGGCCCTGCCCGCCTGTGCCCCGCCGACGTGCGGTGGATGGGGAAGCTCAGGCCAGGCGCTGGTTCCAAACAGAAAAACAAACCCTTTTTGATTTGCAAAGTTACACAGGGTTCTTCTCGTTTTTACTCCAGGTCTTTAGTTTTGGAGAAGGGAATGTTGCTCTAAGAGGATCCCAGTGAGAATTTGAAACCCGATTCCTCTGAGACATGCTGGCTCTTAGTTCATTTATTTTAGTTGTTTGCGTTGAAATTTTTTCCCCAAACGTCAGCCGTTTGCTGTACCTGCAGAAACGGAGGTTCTGAGGACACGGACCTGAGGCACCTTCAGGTCCCAGAATGACACCCTCAGTCTGTACTTATAAAGCCTGTGTTTTATAGAGACCTGCCTGGCTGGCGTGGACCTTCACTGGAGAGAGACCCCTAATGTGCCTCGCTCCCTCATTCCCTGCTGCCGCCCCCACACACACACACAGCCACCACCATCGAGGGAAGTGAGGCCAGGAGGGAGTGGGGTCTGCTGGGCGACGCTGGGGATGGCGTGGGACAGGCCACGCTTGGCGTCTGTGGGCAGCTCGTGCGGTGCCGTTTATTTGTACAGAAACATTTTTGAAAAATTCTTTTCAATAAGATGCAAAGTCCTCTCCAACTTTTCAACCTGATGTGATAAAATATTTGATTTTGTTCTAGGTTTCCTGTAGCTGTGAATTGTTCAAACGTGTCTGATTCAGGATAAAACGTAAACACGTGCTGTTAACAATTTCTTGTGGATTTTACTGTTTTGCCTTCAAATAAAAACTTTTTTTAAAGACCTTTTTCTCTGCGTGTTCAAGTTAGAAGTGTGCTCCAGCCGAGTCAGGAGCAGGCGTGCCTGGAATGCAGAGACTGCGTCCGAGTCGTGCGGTCAGGTCAGGAGCTGCCCTGGCGCCTCATGTGGGTGTGCCCGGCGTGGACACCTGGCCCGGGCTCCTGCTTAGCAGACGGGGCTGTGGCCCCTCCCGTCTATGTCCGCTCACTGGGCGGCCAGCACCCGGCCGGCACAGCCGCTCCGCGGGGCTCCGGACAGGCTGGCATCCTCCGTCCGGCCGTGAGTGGTGACCACTCCACCCGTGGGGCCACTGCCACCGGCCCGCGCGTCCCCTCGGGGGCTGGGCGAGTTCCACTACTCCGCTAAAGAAGGCTGGAGCTGGGATTCCACTCGGGTGAGTCCTCGGCACCGCCTGCCCCCCGCCACTGTCCCCTGGAAACCAACGTGTGTCGCAGCCGGTGTTCTGGACCCGCTTGTCCGTTCAAACCCACGAATCCCGCCTCACCTCCGGTCCCCAGAGCTCCTCCTCCACCTCCTCCAGGGCATCCTCCATGGACAGCGGGGCAGGCCTGTGGTGCCTGATGTACTGTGGGGCAGAGGACAGGGGGCCGTCACCACCGCCACCTCAGTCCACTGAGGCTTTGGGTGCTGGAGGCAGCACCTGTCCCCAGTGGCTCCCGGGCAGGTGGGCAGAAAAAGACCATGACGCGAAGCCACGTGACAATGCTGTGGAAAGAAGAGGAGAGACAAACCCAGACAGGCTCTGGCCAAGGCACCTGCGAGGGATGCGCCCTGACTGGGTCTGAGAGGGAAGCATGACCACGGCTGGGGGTTGGGGGGAGCTGGGGAGTGGGGCTACCGGGGGCGCCCTCAGGGCACACAGGGCGGGCAGAAGGGCCCAGAGCAGGCCGTGAGGAGCCACGGGGGGCTATAGGCAGGTGACATGGTCAGATCACTTCAGCTGTATCCCACCAATCGATGTGTATGACCAACTGAAGTCAAAGAACCCCGTGGGGGTGTGATCATCAGAGTCCAGGATGCGGGAAACCGTCAAAGAAACAACCTGTTTACTTGAACAAATGAACTGCAAGGAAACATCAAAGAGATGGGGCAGGGGAAACCCGTAAGCAGGGGTTCTCAAAGTGGGTCCCCTGTGGGCACAAGGGGGAACACCCGCTCCCAGGCCCACCTCTGCTGCCAGCGGAACCCTGGTGGCCCTCGGGGTCTGATGCCACTCCGAGCCAAGAACCACCGCCCTAAGCCCTAATCGGGAGGCTAAAAAGACCCCAAACATTCTTGATGCACAGGCTTTGGATTCTGAAGAAGCAAATAGCAACAAAATGTTCGACTTGCATGAGCCAAGTGGGAATCTACCCCTGGATATCCACCAATACTAAGAAAATAAGAAAAGTTCATTTGGTTTGGGTGTTATAATGATACTGTGACCATTTTGTTCCAAAGTCCTTAGTTTTAAGAACTACAAAGCAAGATATTTGTGGATAAAAGGACAGAAACGACCGTGCAGAAGTTCATGTGGTGTGATGCCATCTCTAGAAACATTATCATATCTAATACCTAGTATGCTATATATCTTACAACATATAGTATGAAACATACATAATATTGTGTATTTCATACATAACGTTCATATTTTACACAGGGAAAATCTAAAGAATATCGAATTCTCTCTGAAATTATGGACGGCTTTATAAATTACCCACCTCTGTAACAAAATTTTTACAAAATGAGAAGAAAATTTTTACAATCAAACAAAAATTAAATTTAGGGGGGAGCGAGAGGTGAGTGTGACAGTCTTGGCACTTCAGCCCACAGGACTGGGCAGAGCTTGGGGACGGGTCTGCAGAGGGACAGGAGCCCCCACCGAGGAGGTCCCCTTTGCTCCAAGGTCACACACAGCCTAGCCAGCCGCAGCCCACGCCAGGCTGCCTCTCGCTGCCCCCGTCCCATACTGCTCTCGCCAAGGACGAGGACAGCTCCTTTCCCTAGGACTGTAGGTGACTGGGCCCACGGTGTCCCTGCTGCCCGGGCTGAGCCCTGTCCCCCTTCGCGTGCAAAGGCCCCTGCCCTCTCTCCCAGGAAGGGGGTGTGTGCTGCGGTCACCTGTTTGGTTTCCTCCAGGGTGTGGTAGTGGAAGGAGTCTCGGTCCAGGGACTGCAGGAGGGACATGTGCAGGTGCCGGCTGGCCTCCACGAACTGCTGCGTCAGGCTCAGCTGCTGCTTCAGCATGTCGTTGAGCGCCAACGCGGCCGGGCTGTAAGCTGTCAGGGCTGTACCAGCTCCGTGTCACTCCGCCCACCTGCCCGCCTGTCTCCCCAAGGGTGAGGCTCTGGGCCACCCACCCCCCCCGCCCCCACCCCGCGCTCAGCAGCGTCCCCGCAGGGCCAAGGGGGGCTGCCTTCTGGAAGTGCTGCCACCAGAAATACTGCTGTCTGCGGGCTTGTGTGGGACCCTCAGGAGCTGCACGTGGGATGCTCGGCTCCCAGGCAGAAGCGGAAGCCTCAACTAAACGTCCCACCCGCGGGAAGAAGTCTAGGAAAACCCCAAGTTCTGCAACCGCACGATGTGAATCCTGCTCGCACCACTGAGCTGGACACTGAAAACCGGGTAAGAGGAGGGGCGCCTGGGGGGCTCAGTCAGCTAAGCGTCCTGGCCCTTGGTTCCGGCTCAGGTCATGATCTTGCAGTTCGTGAGTTCCAGCCCCACGTCGGGCTCCTTACTGACTGACAGTGCGGAGCCTGCGTGGGATTCTCTCTCTCCCTCTGCCTCCCCCAACCTGTGCCGTCTCTGTCTCAAATAAACTCTTAAAGAAATGGGTAAGAGGGTAAATCCTGTTATGTATCTTTAAACATTAAAATACTTAAAATTAAAAATACAATTAAAGGGGCTCCTGCGTGGCTCAGTCGATTAAGCGTCTGACTCTCGGTCTCAGCTCAGGTCGCGATCTCATGGTGCGTAGGATCGAGCTGACAGCACAGAGCCTGCTTGGGATTCTCTCCCTGCCCCTTCCCTGCGTGCGCTGGCTGTCTCTCTCTCTCTCTCTCTCTCTCTCAAGAATAAATAAGTAAACTTTGAAAAATACAATTAAAAATAGAAATAAAAGTTTTATTTAAATTCAAAATATGTTGAAAAATGGAAGCTGTGTAACTGTTAGAAATGATCATTGTCAGACTACAAGAAAACAGAAAAATCTCTGAGATAATAGCAAGCTAAATGGAAGAGTTTTTTGAGAGGATACAAACATTTCAATTGTTACAACCTGTGCATTTTTAATGTCTTCATCTTTAAAAAAATTGAAAATGGCAGGGGCGCCTAGGCTCAAGTCGGCTAAGCAGTCGACTTCGGCTCAGGTCATGATCTCACAGTCCATGAGTTCAAGCCCCGCGTCGGACTCTGTGCTGACAGCTCAGAGCCTGGAGCCTGCTTCAGCTTCTATGTCTCCCTCTCTCTCTGCCCCTCCCCACTCATACTCTGTCTCTCTCAAAACCAAATAAACGTTAAAAAATTTTGTTTTTAATTGAAAAGGGAAAAAAAACCCCAAAAACCCAAGTCCTAGATGGACCTTTGTTTGTGCCCTGTGAGCCACCAGTGGCCCCATGGGGACCTGATGCGGCCTGGGCTCCCCCAGCAGCTGCTGGGAGGCCCTTCCCCCTGCCCCAGGCTGGACTGGGCCTCCCTAGGACCCCACAACTCCCCCAGACTCTGAAAGGAGTCCAGGCCTGTGGCCGCCACGCTGGCTCACACTCAGGACCTGCCGAGTGTCTTCAGGGGAAAAAGCACCATGTATTCTGGATGCAAAGGCTCAGAGGGGAGCGCGCAAAATAAAAGCAGCGTGGCGGGGGTGGAGGGCCTAGAGGTGTGTTACTCCCAACATTCCTGTCTTATCCGACACGGGCGTCCTTTGGCAACACGGACCAAAGGTTCTCAGACACCCAGTCTGTCGTCAGGGGTCCCAGGAACCGGGGCAGTTGCCTGTGACCATGTCACCCACAGACTCCCCAAACCCAGCACTGAAGTGGGGCAGCAGCCCTCCCGGCGGGGGCAGCCCTGCAGCTAAGATGCGTCCACTTCACCGCAAGGACCCGCTGAGCTGTACTGTTACCTTCTATGGAGTCTGCGCTGACGACGTGGCTGGCAATGGGCACGGGGTCCACGTAGGCACCTCCCAGAGCCGGTCCGACGGCCGCCACGCCGGGCCCTGTCCCGGAGACAAAGGGGGAGGGGCAGATGGGCAGGATTCAGAGTGACTTTCATCAACATATGAAATAAGCTACACGAGTCTGTGCTTTCCTCTCCCGAACAGGACAGCCACCTTCTTGCTTTGTTAACCTCCTTTACGATCTCCCCAAACCTGCCTCCGTCTTTCTGGAGGCGTCTCCTGGTACAAGTCTGCTGAGCGGGCTCAAGCCATCACCGCAGTCCGTGACATCATGCCCTCCCCTCCTTCTCCCCTCCATCCTAGGGGCCACACGAAGGCTTCGGAATGTTCCCGGGACTCTGACAAGCTGGTTGATTTAGACTGCTGTTTTCCTCTTTCGATATCAGGCCTAGTCGAGGAAAACGGCACCAGCTGGGTTTTACCAAAGGGCTCTTAAGTCGCAAAATAATACAGACAGAAACGCGCACATTTGTCAACAACAGGCTACGTTGTCAGGCAGCGGGAGGACGTGGAGAGGAGCACAGAGGCTTCTGCGTCAGAACTGGGCCTCCACTACCCTCGAAGGCCTTCTAGTGATCTGACTTGGCACGTCTGACTGGCTTTCCTCCCCAAGAAATGAGAAAATGGTCACGACCTACCCCAGCGTGCAGCCCAGGCTGAGACACGGCTAAGCCCCCCTGAATCAAAATGAATACAGCAGGTGAGAGTGTTATACGCCCTCGTGCAGTCCAGGAATAACCCTGGCTACGCTGTGGGCAGCGACCTAGACGAGAAAAGAGAGTGGGGGGATGTTTAAAAGCAAGGGACCTTTCCACCCAGAAGGGCCAAGACTGAAACTGGAGACGAGACAGACGCCTGGAAACTCACACCGGCCATGAAGAGCAATGTCCCCTGCACCACAGAAGAGAATCCACCACAACACACCGCGCCGGGACCCCCAAGCCACCTGAGGACTCGCCGTCCCAGGTGGTGGTTCCACGCTCAGTGCCGTCCCCAGGCTCGCCCTGGGCACCGCCAACATTTGGGGCTGGGTCATCTCCTGGCAGGGCCAGCCTGGGCACCGCAGGACGTTGGGCAGCATCCCTGGCCTCCGCCCAGTCATGACAGCCCGAACTGGCTCCAACCTCGCTGAGGTCCCCCGGGGGCAGGCTCACCACAGCTGAGAACCTGATTCTGAAACCTTTCCAGATGCTTTAGAGCTCGGGGGGCAGTCGGAGACACCCAGGGCGGCTGCCCCTCGTCCTTGGAAGAGGGAACGGGGCACCGAGGCCCCCCAGCTGCTTAACAATGACAGACCCTGAAGCCTTCGTCATGCTTCCAAGGATGCCCGCGGCACACGCCCTGGGAGCCGGCGCCTCCCCCCCGGGGCCCACACACTTACCCTCCACCCACTGGTAGGTGAAGGCGGGCTCGAGGGTCTGCACAGCCGTCTCCTTCATGATGACTCTTGTAACGTCCCTGACTTGCTTTTTCCAAGGTTTGAGCGTTGGCAGGGGAAGGTCTGTCTTCAGGCTTGCAGAGAATTCTGACAGAGTGTCCAGCGTCCTTTCAGGAGACTCGGAACGGGCCCTTGACTCGGATGCTGTCGAATTTGGGGATTTTTCAAAATCTTCTGAGTAAGCCGAGCTCACTGTGCTGGCCGTGGGCTCCTGAGACGTTGGCCTCGGGCTGGAAGCATCCTCAGGCCCGGCAGAGGAAGCCGATGGCTCGCTCAGGCACTCTGAGATCTCGCTTCCAGTGGGAGGGCCCCCTGCCTGGGGACTTTGGCTGGATGCCTTTTCCCGCTGCCCTTCTTTCTAAAGGGAGGGTGACAGAGGTCACGGGAAAGTGGTTTCGAACGATCAACAGGCTCAAAGTACCATCGCATTAGAATGGAGTGCAGGGTACCTAGGGGGCCCAGCAGGGAAGGGTCCACGCTGGTCCTTCAGGGGTTTTGAGCAGGCCCAGTACCGTGAGCAATATTCTTGAGATGCTTTGGGGCTGCTGTATTTTAACACTGATGGTGTGAGCATGTGTAGGGGGCACGTGGTTGAAATCTGTTACAATGTCATTATTATGTATTATTAAACCAGTGCCTGCAGGTTCCATAGTGAGGAGGTTACTAATATGGCAAGAACCACAATGGGGCACTATGATGAGTACAGGTCAGTGTGGTGTTCTTATGGGGCAGTTCAAGTGGGACCCGCTTTTTTTCTTTTTTCTTTTTTTAAGTTTATCTACTATTTATTTTGAGAGAAAGGGACAGCATGAGTGGGGGAGGGGCAGAGAGGGAGAGAGAATCCACACTGCCAGCGCAGAGCCCCCACATGAGGCTCAGACTCAGGAACTGTGAGATCGCGACCTGAGCCAAGGTCAAGAGTCGCACGCTCCGCCGACCGAGCCAGCCAGGCACCCCTAAGTGGGACCTGCTTTAATCACCTGCCACATTAACTAGCTTTATTCTGTTTTCACCTACATCAGGATCTCTCACCCGGGGCACTCCTGACATTTGAAGCCTAAACGCTCTTTGCAGTGGGGGCTGTCCTGTGCATTGCAGGACACTGAGCGGCATCCCTGGCCGCCACCCACCAGACGCCGGCAGCAATCTCCACCCCAGTCACGATAATCAAAACTGTCTCCAGACCTGTCAAGGGTCCCCCGGGGGTCAGGCCAAGACCTACGGGCCTAAAGGAAGCACAATGCTACCAAGCGTCTCCACGTAACCTACCGTGAAAAATTAAGTTGGCTGTACTCACTTTCCGTTCCAAGTCTGAGTTCTCACTGACAGCTGGAGCCAGATCATCGAGGGATAAAAGATTGATTCGAAAATCTGTAATTAAAAATGCAACATGACATTCACTCATTTACATACCACACGGCATTTACCATTATGTCATAGGCACTGGGCTAAGTGCTAAGAATAGAAACACAGAAGCGTGCAGCCTTGGTCCTTAATAAGCCAGCACAGGGATCTACACGTGTTTTCCCTAACTAGTAAATGGTTTCCACTTTGCACCCGAGACTGTACCACAGTTAACTCAGCTCTGTCGTTAAAAACCACCACAGACCACGTGTAAACAAATGGATGGGGCTGGGTTCCAATAAAGCTTCATTTCGGGGCACGTGGGTGGCTCAGTCGGTTAAGTGTCCAATTCTGGATTGTGGCTGAGGTCACGATCTCACGGTTCGTGAATTCAAGCCCCTGCATCGGGCTTGCTGCTGTCGGTGTAGAGCCCCCTTTGGATCCTCTGTACCCCTTTCTCTGTGCCCCTCCCCCCCCAAAATAAACATTTTAAGTGTTTTTAATGTTTGTTTATTTTTGAGACATAGAGAGACACAGGCACTGGCAGCTCCAGGCTCGAAGACCAGCCCAGAGCCCGATGTGGGGCTCGAACTCTGATCCTGACGATCATGACCTGGAGCTCAAGACATGGGTACCTCCAACCGCGAGCCACCTGTCGGCCCCCAAAGCCAAATAAGACATTAAAAAAAAAGCGCTCTAGAGCTCTGCTGGCACAGTCGGTTAAGCGTCCGACTTCAGCCAGGTCCGATCCGAATGGTCCTGGGGTTGGCGTCCTCAACGCGCTCTGGCTGATGCTCAGAGCCTGTAGCCTGTATTCCTGGGGTCCTCTCTCTCCTCCCATTCGTCATGCTCTCTGTCCCAAAAATAAAAATAAAAACGTTTGAAAAAAAAAAAAAAAAAAAAAAAAGCCTCTTTAGTTATAAAAACAAACACTGAGCCAGATGAGTAGATGACAGCAACACGGTAAAGAATGTGTGGTGCCAAGTGTGTGCAAGGTAGGGGGGGTGGGGTGTGGGACAACTCAAGCAGACATAAAACTAGACCTGAAGTGTCGTAAGTTCCCACTTAAAGCAAGTTAAGGGCACAGGAGCCCAAGGAGAACCAGCATTCGGCATGCCAGCTGGCCAGTCGCCAGTGCCTGAGACTTGGGAGTCTAGAATCCTCTGTGGAGTTCTGGTGTTCCAAACAAACCTCTGAGAACCCAACAGATGAGCCCACTCCTCTAGGTGGGTGGGCAGTGGACATCAGCCAAAGTTGGCAGCAACTTCTATTGCACAGTTCAGTTCAAGCCCTGAAACACGGGCAGGGGGCGGGGTGTGAGAGAGACAGAGAGAGAGAGAGAGAGACAGAGAGAGAGAGAGAGAGAGAGAGAGAGAGAGAGAAAGTTGGTAGGAACAGGCAAGAGTGGGGTCCTCTGGGCAGCAGGCATAGGGCTGGAGGCAAGAGAGAGAGAGAGAGAGAGAGACAGAGGGAGGTTCACACCACCTGCCCCCCGCACCTGCCCATCCTAAGCCCTAGAGTGAATCCCCCCGTCACCCCAGTCCTGGGGGCTCACACCTCCTCCGAGCTCTCTGCTTCTGTCACTGCCATTCACGTGGCAGGCAGGTCCAAAGACACATCCCTGGACAAAGTGTCTGAACTAAAAGGCATCCGGCTGGCCCAGGGCAAAGGCATAGAGGTGATTCTGAACTTGAGCACTTGGGAACGGCATTGCCACTGGCCGAGGAACGTTACCGTCATGTAGGCCAACCCTAGCACGCACGCGCCTCCTGTAGCAGAAGGCCAGCTGAGGGGCTTCACAGCCACTTCTGTGGCTCTGCCCCCACTTGACGGATGAGAAAACTGAGGCACAAAGCGCCCGAGACTGCACAACCGGTAAGAGGCAGGGCCAGGACGCCCACCCAGCTACGTCAGACTCAGAATGTGCTCACCACTGCCAGCTGCCTCCCTCCCTCGAAGCTACATCTGGACAAGGGAGGGCAGGGGCTGGCCACCAGGAGAGGCCCCTCCAGGCCAGCAGTGAGGACAGAAGGGCTGCCGGGACCGACAGTGTGGACAAACAGCAGAAAGGGAGGAACCTGGGTCTGTCACCTGCCCCACCAGCCTATACCCGTCTTCCCATCCACATGATGAGGGAGGTGACTTGGGGCCAGGGGAGCAGGGACACCCACTTACCAAACTCTCGGGCCCAAGGATCAGAGCCACTGAGGGAGCTCAAAGGGGTGTCTCACGTCGGCAGCCAAGAGCCCATCCCCCTGCGTTCTCCGACCCTAACAAGGGCACCGGAAGAAACCACCCTTCATGGCAATACTTCCCCCCAAACCCCACCCCGATAGAGCTTCCACTGCTGACCTCCCGGGGCATGAATACCCACGTTAGTCTGTGATGGGATTCAGGACACGCTACCCCAAAATACAGCACCTTGGCCTACTGAATATCTCAGACGGGAGGGAACCTGAACATGGCACACGCTGCAAGAATCCTCTGCCCTTCTCCCTTGACCTGCTGCAAGGGTCTCATGTGAGAAGTGACCCCCCCCCC